GCAGCTTGTCATAACATTTCTGACTTATAGCGGCTTACCTAGCCTTCTCACCCTCCTTCTTTCTGGATTCTCATCATAACTATTTGTATCACTTTATAGCCTGTTTTGTGTTCTGACTTGCTACATCATATTTTCAAGTAAATACCCAAACTGAAGAGTACCTGGCAGAAAAACTGTGTACCTGTTCCAAGACCTTGGGCTGCAAACAGTAAAGGAATCCAGGCCAGTTGACACTGGCCAAAGTTTGAAGTAGAAAGGTTGTATATCTGAGAGCTGCAGTAGCTTCCTGAGCACTTGTAGTTATGCGTTGGCTGTACAGGTGAGGACAGAAGGACACGGGACAAAAACTTGAGGCCAGAATCATAGGCTGTGTAATGGGGAGCCAACAGGAAAAACAGGGAGGTCTTTTTCATAAAATGCATAGAGAAAGAAATTGGGCATTAAGCTGTGCTTTAAATGGCAAAGGCATCTTACCTATTGGCCTCTACTCGGAAAGGAAACAAGGAGAGTGGGTTCTGGCATGGTATTGTAGGAATAACAGAGCTATTGTAAAAGGACAGGTATTCCATCTTCTAGAAACAGCTTATATCAGTCATCTGAGCACACAAGGCCAAGTGGGTAGAGACCCAGAGCCACAGAAGCAAGGGCTTCTTGTTCTCTCTGAGCTCAGACCCCACCTGCATTTGGCACGGGGGCTGTGACCTAGCAGCAGACTGCAAATAAGGGTCTCCCATGGCCCTGCCACCCCCAGCTCTGCCCTGTACACCCCCTCACCTCTCCCCTCACAGTCTTCCCTGGTGCCAGATGCCACAGCCAACATCCTGTGTGAACAGCAGTCTACTGTGTGCCTGTGAGCTACAGGGAGGAGACTGTCACCTCCCAGGCAGATGGGTAGGAGAACTGGATCTTGAGAAGTCTGTCTCCTGCCCGGGGAGGAAGCACCAGCTCAGACCTGCTTTGCCTGAAGGAAGGGCTGCTTTCAGCACTATGAAGCTTCAGTTTGGGTCACCCTTGGATGCACATAGAGGTGGAGTCACACCAGTACACTGGCATCCATTGGGAGAGTGAGGGGGCAAGTGGAGGATTTAAGTTCCATATGACAGTGTAGTTAAATGGAAACAAGGCAACAATTAGTGGGGAGAAATCTGAGGTTTAGTGTTGCTTTTGACCTAGTGAAAACCACTGGCTGCTGAGGACACATTTTCTATATCTTTTCCTTCTTGCTGTTTTACTTACAGTGTTCTTCAAGTGCATATGTTTTGACCTATTTCTTCTGCCTATGCCTAATGAAGTACAAGAATACTTACTACCTATTAGATAAGGTATTTCTTCATAGGTTTGCAGATGCTCTTATGTATAGACACATGCCCTGAGGGCTTCACTTTGGTTGGCAAATAGCACTTCCTAATGTGCTCACCACTTAAGATTGCGTTGGACTTGCTGGCAGGGAGGCTGTCTCAACCTACCTGAGTTACCTCTGCAACTTATTTTGTTGTCATATGTTTAGTTTGCTTGTGTGCTGTCTCCCAGATGGAGTAGAGGAGTACTGCATAGCCTGAGGCAAGAGAAAGCACTCTGCACTTCCCAGAAAAGGCAGTCCCTCGGGACTGTGAAAGCAGTCACAGCCTGATGTAGTTCTTTGGTTGACCTTGTATTGAAAAAGTGACCTCAAAACCAGGTGGGGGTTGCAAGTTGTGAGCTCCAAACACTGTGGGTTCTGATGAGATGTGCTACAGGCACTCACCAGATTGTTTCAAAGCTCCTGGAACAGGCTTTAGCAAGTTGTCTCCTGGCAGTCTCCGGAAAAAATATCATGCAACCACAAATCAGTGACTAAAGCTATGTAAGGACTGGTGCTTACTACAACTGGGGCAGTAAATGCAGTGGAGACCAGTCCCCAAGCACCTGGGGCAAGGGGACTGAGAGAAGCTGTACAAAACAGAGTTGTGCTCAGACAGATTTCGGAGCTCAGTAGCAGAGATCTGGGCATGTGTGGGACTCAGGGCAGCAGTCATGGTGCGGCGTAAAGATTAGGATCAGACTGTGAAGGTAAGTAGTAAAGCTAGAAGATGAGTGAAGAAGGGATGTTGTGGCAGTCTGTATTTCTATAAATATATTCATCTCCCAAAGAAATTAATGAAGGATAACCATTCTGTTGCATTTTTAGCTCTAAGACCAGAGGTGTATGATAGACTGCATGGTGCATTGTCTACACAAAACTTTCTAGTCATCTTGCTTATTGGATTGCTGGGGAAGAAATCTTTTTTGTGATGCTGCAACTTTCCATTCTCTTTATTTCTTGTTCTCCGCAGTTTTGCTTTTCCCACGTTCAACAGTTTTTCCTGTAATTTCCTGTAATATTTCTCTTTATTTGTCTTTGATTTTGCAAGCTGGGGTAGAGGCTGCAATGTTTTCTTAATTTAGTAATGACTCAGGAGGTACATGGTTTCTCCTGGAACTAAAATATGAATACATTTTATTTAGATTTATTTTAGTTATTGCTTTACATTTAAAGGTTTCTGTGGCTTTTGTGTTTGGCTTGGGGAGAGGTTTGTGTCTCATGAGAGTTGATTTTGAACTAAAAGAGCAAATTTGTTGACTTTTTGGTCAGATGCATTGTTTTCACTTGCAGGAACATTCATTTGACTTCCTGCTAGTCAACCTTTTCCAAAGCATTTTGAAAGGTTCTTATTGTTGTCAAAACATTTGTGTGCAATAGACTATATTCTAGCAATTCCTTATACTTCCCTTTTACTTTGTGCCACGTAAATTCATTGGTGTTGCAGATTGGTTATTAACTTCTTGCTTGTACAGATTATTTGGAAAACACCTAAGAATTAAACTTTTTTGCACTATATCAATTAATCAAATTGCTATTTGAATCCTTGAATTTAGTTCAACATATTTAAGTGACAAGAAGTATCAGCTTTCCTTCTATTGTTGGTGTGGGACAGCTACAGTTGCCAGAAGAAACTGAAATTACATTACTGCAAATTAGATTATTATATTACTTGACCAATGTGGTGCAATTTATTCCAGATAAAATGTATTCAACTATCTTAGATGCAATTCTTTCGTATTTCTTTATTCCCTTTAATCAAAGGGAATAAAACTGTGTGCAAAGAGGTCCTCTGTTCACAGCACTGTATTTCCTATGGACTTTGGGCTGCAATTGTGAATGCTTAGCTCTTCCTAGAGTTAGATGCCTTGTGCAAGACTCCCAGAAAATGACAAGCACATAACTTGCACCCAGCTATAAAATCAAATGGCCTCCAAGTCATCACATAACAGCACTGTAGGAAAGAACATTGCATCTGTCTAATCTGTCTTCAGAGGTGCACTGGTAACTCGAGTTGGCCTCTCTCTGAGCCAGTGGCTCAGTCCTGCCAAGACTACGTTTGTGTTCTTTACCCCTATGACTTTCAGGCTGACCAAACATCCATGATAGACTGTTATCGATACCCAGGTATTAGCTCATGCCCGTGAATTCATGCGCTAAAGATGCAGCTGCAGCACACGCATCCTGTCTGGAACAGAGGCAGGAATAGCATCCATTTCCTCAAGGTTTCCTACATTCATCTGTGGTGAATAGTCCCAACAGCTTGCTCTGCAAAAATCTGGCACATCCTGAGAATAAGTCCATCCTGTACACTAAACAAAGGCAGGGCCTTGCAAAATAAAGCAAGGCCAGAAACAAAATAATACTGGACTATGTAATTTTAGACTGTCCTGAAATGTACAAGCAAGGGGACTGAGATGAAGTCACATAATCAGTCTTCTGGTATTTCATGACTTCTGACTCTTTTGTTGTGCAACCTTAGTGACTTTTAAAAAAAATTAGTTTTGTGCCTATAATACTTAGGTGAACCAAAGGGTAAGGACTGAAGAGATGAGAGGTAACAGGCAAAAGGCATAGCAGAATTAAATTAACTTTAGAAGGCAGGTAATTTACCTATGTACTTGCAAGCAGCTTGGTTTTGTAAAGGCTGGGATGTGAAGAGGGAAGACCTCGGGAACCTCTTGGGCAAAAGGGAAAAGTACAAAAATATTTTCAGCTCAAGGGAAGATAAATTACAGAGGACTGAACTTTGGTTCCCAGCTCAGAACATGCTGAAAGCCACCTCAGCAGACTACAGAATGGGATAATCCCTTAAGAATAGATAAAATTCCCAGGCTTTCAATCTGTTATTTTTATTACATGTACTCATAGGCGGTAGAAAACTGCTGCTGAGAATAGACTCCACCTCTGGTCATTCACAGTGATAGCCATAAAAAACAATGAGCGGTGCTTCCAAGAAAGGAAGCATCTTGTTCTGATACAATGCTAAAAACATACTGTAAGGTCACTGAAGCATCATATAGAAAACTTTCTGATTAGAAGTGGTTAAGATTGTAACGATTAAAACAGGAGAGAATAATTAAATTATTAACAACGCCTCAGATTTTTTTTTCTAGCATGATACGCTCCTCTAGGTAAAATACAGCATTGATGCAGCACAGAATTCCCAACAAACTGATGTTTTTTCATCACTAGCAGAATTATTAACTTTCTTTTCAAATAGCAAGGCCCAGCCCCACACCGTTGGATGCTTAGCTATGGAGAGATTTTCCAGGAGTCCCATGACTCGCTCCTGCGTTGATCATACAGTGTGGGGCTCCATTTTGCTCCTAGCAGCAGCTCTTCAAGGAGGTAGTTCTTCCCCTGAAGGCTTTCGCTGAGGCTGGATGGCAGAAGGCAAAGGTGCTCGGGGAGGGAGAATCCTGCCCCTGAACTAGGTACAGTGGTTTTCAGCTTGCTTGCCTCACCCTGCCCCACACCTCGACATACAGTCGATGACAATCGGTTAATTAGATGGTGATTCCCAGCGGCCGAAGAGGTGTTAGAGTGCAGGGCGTGGTTCGCTGTCCCCTGCTTTCTTTGCGGGACTCCCCCTTCTCGGGCTGCCCGGAGGGAGGAGGAGAAAGAGGAAGAATCGCGTTTGCGGCTCCACCTAGAAGTTGATCAGAGAAGATAAACTCTCCACTGAGGGCAAGAGATAGCAGCGCTTTATTTTTTTTTTTTTCGCGTGAGTCTCTCCACCCCCTGGAAGGTATTGGTATAAACGGAGGAAGAATTTGAGCAGGCTCGAGCCAAGTAATATTTCTGTCTAAACGCACAACGTGCTTCCTCCTACGTTTTCGTTTCCAGATGGGGCTCAGCTGAACGAGCCCTCCTCTTCAGCCCTGTCGTAAGCACCACCATGTGGGAACCGGGCTGGAGCTGCCAGAGGCTGCAGAAGCAGCCAGGGCGGCCCTGAACAGAAGCACCGAGCTCTGCCCTCTTCTCTGGGATCATTCAAAGATAAAATACCTGCTCTGTTGACAACCGGTAAGTGAATACTCCTGCTTTATAAAGTAAATCCTTGCAGAGGCTGAGAGGGTGTTTGGATCGTGTATGAACCCATAGGATTGGGTGCGCTGGCAGTGCTTGTTCCCGAGTTTGTAGGACATATGATGGTGGTTGTGAGACTTCCGACGGTTGGACGCGAATGGAACTCGGGGGTCTCTCCCAGCTTTAACCATTCTAAGCTCTTCTCACCAGGCTCGCGCGTCATTTCAGACGAGAAAGCTTCCTGTTTTAACCTCGTGTAGACTCTATATGCATGCTTCTAATTTTAAAACCTTCTTCAGGTGAATACTGGGTGGCAGCAGCTGCCAACAGATTGCTATTCAATGTAAATTACCGCGTATTCAAAGGCAGAGCTGGCTATTCCGATACATCAGCGTGTTCCTCGGTGAAAGCATTCAAGGAATTGAATTGAATTTCCAGAGGGATGGAGCCTGCCTCTACAAGCCTCCTTTAAAGAGAATACAATTTTAATCGGCTTGAGAGCTGGTGAGATGAGACATCCCAGACCTTTCCCAGAGATTCCTGGGAACTTTCTAGCTAAAAAATTCTAACACCGCGGCGCAGCAGGGAGCCGGTTCCCGGTGGGGATGAACCCGAAAGAAGCCGGAGCGCCGCCGCCCCCCGCCTTCCCGGCGGCGCTCGGATACGCTTGATGCCGCGGGCGGGCGAGGCCGGGCTGAAGCGCTGCCCGGGGCCGCATGCGGGGCCGGGAGTCGCCCCCGGCCGGAGCGGGGCCAGCCGGCGGGCGGCGGGGGAGGGTCCGCCGGGCGGCCGAGCGCCTCCGCACACACAGGTAGGTTGCTGTGGAGGGCCGTGGGAGAGGGGAACAAGGGCCGCGTTTCCCCGGCTGGTCCCGCCGTGCGCGGGGCGCGGGAGCCGCCCGCCTGTCCCGGCCTCCCGGAGCAGCCCCGCTCGCAGGCCGGAGCGGCGGGAGGAGCCGCCGCGGGGCCCCCCGCGGGTCGCGGCGGGAGGCGAGCCCGGGGGCGGGAGAGTAAGGGGTGGCGGGGCCCGGAGCTCCCGGGGTGGGCAGGGCAGGGCTGGGCTGGGGGAGAGCGGGCTCATGCGGGCAGGACAGCCCCGCGGAGGGGGAGCCTTTCGGCGCTGCTGGCGGCGGTCCGTAAGTAAAATTTGAGGGGAGATTGGCGGCTCCTGCCAAGCTTGGGTCGGGTAATCCCACCGTGTTGCCATGGCTGCTGGTCAGGCAAGTTCGGATAAAGGGTTGCTTCTGGCGAGGGTACCCTTGGAAATACCGAAGGCCTCGGGGAAGGAACAATGGCTTTGTGGGCCGACTCGGCTTTAAGCTATGCAAATCCATTACTTGTAGTTTAGGGAAGAAACAAACCCTGGAAGTTTTATGTCCTCTGCCTTTTTTTTTTTTTTTTTTTTTTTTTTTTTTTTTTTTTTTTTTTTTTTTTTTTTTTTTTTTTTTTTTTTTTTTTTTTTTTTTTTTTTTTTTTTTTTTTTTTAAGTATTTGGATGATTATTTGGCAGTCGGGGTGGTGTTTCTATTTTAGTTACAGCAAGCTGTGAGATCAGTCCTGCTGTCCTTTATCAAATTAAAATTTACAGGGAGATGAACAGCTGATCTATTGGGATTCGTGGCTGTTGTGTTCTTGTTACCCAGCTGAAACTTTCTGTCCTGGTTTCTTCCGTTTTTGTCTGTCTCTTCTTCACCCACGTTATACTGAGCTATTCTTGGAGACAATTTGGTTGCAGAACTATTAAGAAAAGGATAAACTTTGTGATGGGATGAGATTGCTTGTTTTAACCTGTTAATTGTATTATAGCTGAACTATGTAAAAATGTCATACATAAAAGTATCTCTTGTGTAGAGTGCCATGGTAGTAGAGTGTGCCATGGTCACACCTAAACTCAAAAAACTAAATTCACAGTAAATTAAAGTACAGGGAAATATATATGGAGCAGGGCTTCCTACCCATTAACAAGCAGTACTCTTATATGATTAGTCTCAGAAGTGATATTTATGAATGTAAAACAATGTTCCTTTCATATGTAGGGTTGCACCAGCTGTATGTTTGTCTTCTTCCCACCTACATGAAATAATCTATGGATCTTTTTTCCCAACTTGATGCACTACCTGCTTCTTTAGTACATCTACCTCCACTGAACTGAAGCAGTCCATTAAATTATTTTTTAAGCTTATGACTCTTGATTAAAGCAGCAGAATTAAAAGCTGATAGGCCTCATGGGCTCCTTGAAGGTCATCCTGGCTTTAGATGACCTCTTTTTGTGGGATGTAGAAATGATGCTCTGTGGAAGCAATTGCTAGTTGGGGCAGTGCCCATGGGAGCAGCTGCAGAGTGTATATTCGGGAGAGTAAAACCTGGAAGTTGGCAGAACGATCACAAGTCCTGACTTACAAACTGGTGGGGAAATAGGTGTTACAGTAGACAAGATGATTGGCGAGACATTATGTTGATGTGTACCGTGTGCCCTGCTAAATAATGACTTGAGCAATTAGAAGGGGAGTTTGCTCCCTGAGGAGGGACATACTGACGTGGTGAAGGGTCATATTTGCAGTGGGAAGTTCTGGAGATGCTTCTCCTTCACCATCTTCTCAGACTCTTGATAGCTTACCAGCAGAGACAGTTTTAGAGGATTTGCCATGATTGCTTTCTCCTTGCGTGATCGTTTTTGGATCATTCTTACAACAGCTTGTTTGTGCCATTAATGCTTTTATCTCAGGCTTATTTCTTTTGTTAGTTTCTGGGCACACCATGATTAGTGCCTCTTCATAAAGATTTGATCCATCCTCCCGTAACAGGTTTGGAAAAGTTCTCATAAACCTGCTTTGGCTAATGTGTGGTTTTCTGCTTCTTGCTTATTGCTCCGTGGTCTCTGAACCAATCCCTAGGATATTTTGGCCTGGAAGAGAATGCCATCAAATGGATCCTTTGAAGAGAAAACTTGAGAGACCACCATGGGTCTCCACAAGACAGTCTATACCGTTGACTCGAAAGTGCTTCTGAGGAAAGGCTGTATTTTTTTCCGTCTCAGTATAGATTGAGCTGTAGCACAGGATGTTGGTTTGTCTTTATATGTTAACATTAAGGTTGTTTTACTTATAAGCACGGAAGGTTGTTTTTACTGTATGTGTGATGTGAGATACTCTGTCTACCTAGTTAAGTGCAGTTTAGGAATGGTCTCAAGGTTAGTTGGAATACCTCTTTCTACAGACATCTTTCCTTACAGGTGTTTGCACTATTTTAGCTAAATTGGTTGAAATGTGTGTTGCAGAGGAGTTTAATTTATCAGACTTAATGAAATCTAATTTGTAATTCATTTGAATAATTTGTTTATCAGTTTCTTTAGCTTTATAGAGAAGTTAGTAAATAATACTGGGAAACTAATTTATGAGGTAACTGAATGTATGGGATTTCTTTTCATAGCCTGTTTTCTACCATTTAATTACTCAAAATACCAAGAAGAGAATAAAAACCCCCTGAACTTCCCTGTTAATCGAGTTTCTTCTAGTTTTGCTGTGTTTCATGTGATCACTTTTATACATATTCATAGCCTTCAAAGGAAATGAAAATAAAGCTACTTTTATGTATTATTTGTTGTGTGAACTTCTAAAGTGTCAAATCTTTATCCTACTTCTATAGAAGAGCCTAAAACTTCAGCTTTTCTTGATGTTTATTAAGGTTGGGAGGAAAATATGATGTGCAGGCTGTTGTTTCCTTTATAAGTCACCTTTCAGTAGTGTGTAGAAATTAACCTGTTCCCACTTTGCAGTTCAGTGTATTCATCACTGGTACCAGTAGCTGCTATCTGTACAGAGAGGTTGATGGGCAGTGTTAGCTAATATGGACTGTGAAGCAAAAAGAGGTACCATGTAGTTTTCATGCAGTACCACTGTCTCTTGAAAAATGGGCAGAAAAAAATGCAGGTGCAGAACGTGGTAAAATATTTTGCAGCAGTGCTTGTTGCTGCATTCTGTACCTGTCATCTGAAAATACCATGTTCCTTCTAAAGTTCATTTTGTTCAGGTAGATTGACTCTTCAGTGCTCCAAGTTGGTTATCCTTTGTCTTGAAGGCAAAAGCGAAGCCTTGGTATCTCAAGAGGAAAGACCTTTTTCAGCTCTATCACAGAGTGAGCAAACTGTGTGTCCCCCCTGGTAATACCCAGAGTTTGTGAGTAACTGTTGTGTGTTACCTCCTCTCAGCCCCTACAGCAGCATGGTGTGCTGGAGCTGTTCTTTGCATTCCAGTGTAAGTGGGGAGTCAGGAGAGGCAAGGCAAGGACTTGAATACTCCCTGCTTGCCCTGGCTGAGAAGGGAAGGCTGAAAAATTCAGGAGCCACAAAGCTAATCCTCCCTTCTGTTAGGAGGGCAGGAATGGAGCAACCATGGAACTGGTTTAAAGAGCAGCAGGAATAAAATGAAGGTCAGTCTTAATCATTAAAGCTCCTAACATCTGTTGATTTGAAGTCCAAGTTTCCATTCCCCTAGCAGGAATATTGCTTTCTTTTGGGCCACTAGCCAGTAGGAAACCTTATTTGTGAGGTGTGTGGCTAGCAGTCTTAGATTTCCACTGACTGTTCAACTCACTTTTAAAAGAACAGTTTCTAGCCCTCGTGGGTACAGGTTGGAAACACCAAAACAAGGATTAGCTGCTGCAGAGCTCAGAGGAGTTCTTTGTTAGACTGGATCTGCAGACTAACCCTGCACAGCAGTATCCAGACACTGCTTTCTGTTCCTGCTCTTCATGGTCCTTGGCTGGAAGTGAAATGAGAACTGTGTGAGGGGCATGTCATCAGCTTACCCAGTCTTGGGAGAGGAAATACACTTATGTGATGGCCATTTAATGGTACAAAATGTGCACATGTGAAATACAAATGAAATCGCATGTGGGATGGGGGAGGAGCCTCTTTCTCAGGATAAGAAAGGAGTTGAAGTTATGTTTTTACCATTTTTTTCCCCCCCCCGTGGTTAATGTAGGTCCCTCCTGGGCAGC